GGTGTTTTTATGGGAATGTGGAGCTTTCAGATCAATCTGAGAACCAATTTTGATAAACTTCATTTTATTGTGTAATGTAGCGCAGGGCACTGGTCTTGGTCTCGGGTTCGGTGGTCTTGACTACAACTCTGCTACGTGGCTCCTTGGTTGCATGTTCTCCCTCACCCAGCTTCTTTCCATCCCCTTTCTGTTGGATTTCTTTCTAAATAAATGTCACTAATGAAGTTCATGCTATGTTAGGACAGGAGACAAGATGTTTCCATCCCTGAAATTATGATGCTTAGACTTAGAATCACATATCTAAGTCTAAACTATGTTAGAGAGTAAACATAATAAAAACATGCTTTATCTGTGGCATTGTTCATTAAAATGGCACATTTCCGATGTATTAAAATTAAATACGATCGGTTCACTTAATGATATTAGCAATTAGGTAATGCATTCACCAAGTACTTTTACTTTTAATACTTAAGTATTTTTAAAAGCCAGTACTTTTTTTTACTTTTACTTAAAATGTTAATGTTGTACTTTTACTTTTACTTAAGTACATTTTTTGAGTACTTTCTCCACCACTGGAAATGTTTCATCAGCACATTGAACTCATATGATTCCTGCACCCAAAAGGGTGAAGGTCTCTGGACATCCTGAAGGTAAACACCAAGGACAGTCAGGAAGACGGACACTGATGAGACATCCTACAACTGAGATGCAGCACGAACAACCATGATGTTCTGCAGGAGCAGTTTACCAACAGTGAAAACACATTGGAATATATTATGAAGGAATTCTGACATTTTTAAGTAATTTGCAACACCCTGACTAACATTAGCTTATGTATATTTTGCACTATTACAAGTTTCATAGCAGTTTAATACAAAAATCATTGTTAGCTCGTCTGAGCCATCTGCTTTCCTCCCGCAGCAAGATGGAGATAAGCTGTCCTCATCAGAAAAATCAGGTTATAAAAAAGTAGCTCAGCTCTCTCTTCTTCTTTTGTATCAGACAAACAACTCGGATTAGGTTGCAAGCACAGCATATGGCACATGGAGGCGGCGCGCTCTACCAACCCACCACCAGGAAGCGGCACCCTGCTGTGGGCCGGTGGAAAAGTCACTCCGAAATAGAGCTGAGTCGAGCCGGGCTGCTGAAGTAGACGCATGTCCCCTGGTTCTCCGCTTTGCTGCATACAGAAGGTCTTGACCAAATAGTTTTGTGACACGTCCTGTAACGTAACTACGTCTCTCTCTCTTTTATAGTGACACATATAAGACATAATTCACACAACTAATACAAGATTTGTCAAAAATATGCAAAGTCAACAAATTGTAGCAATTTAAAATATTTTATTGTCATTAAAGGGAACACAATTTCTGGTTGCATATATTAAAGCATAGTTATTTCTTGTGAATAAATGTTACACAGAATCTTGAATTTTTTTTCATTGTATGATAAATACACATTTAGCTAGGTCTTTAACAAAATTAAACTATTAAGAATAAATTGTGAGTTTCAACCAGATTTAGTGATTTAATGTTATGTGATGAAATGAAATGCTTTTATTCCCAAAACCCACTAATCTTCTCTCTTTAAGGGAGATGGTTTATAATCGATGCATTTTTCTCCAGTCAGATGTGGGTCACAGGTCATCGTGTATTTAACCATAACGTTTCCATACGGTGATGAGCACGTGAAAGTGTAACTGCCAGGCTTCAGGTATGTCACGCAGTGTATGAGAAGGTCGTCATATTTCGAGTCCTGATCCCAAACCTCAATCTTCATTTGCAGGCTTGTGTCAACCTTCATAAGAAAATTTGAATGGAGGATCATTCAGATGCGTATTTTCTCATTCAAAGTCAAATTATTTAGTGATATAGAAAATAAAACTGTTTTCCGTGCATCTCAAAAGTTGATAAATGCAGAGTAAAGTTAGCCAAAACACAACGGCACAAGATATGAAATACATCAGCCAGTATTTTACATCTGGCTGATGTATTTCACATCACAATATGAGTGGTTTACACATATATTGTGTATTCAAATATTTTCTGCTTTTACTTTTATTTGTACTCGACCATAAACACCATGAAATGTGCATGGTCTATTCAAGTAAAACCAAATACTTTTTCATGCAGGTGCTGACCCAGTATCCCAAAACATAAAGAGTCTGCAGCCTGGCTTGGATCTAGAAATGGAGTTGATTGTACATTCCCCAAGTTCGGAATATGCAGTTTATCTGCATTACATATCATTTTATACTTTGATTTGTCTTATTTGATTTATTTATTTATTTCAAACAGGTTTTTAAAAATAAAAAATAAGCAATCTGTAGGACAATTGGACAAAAAGTTTTTAGTTTGACATTGAAGGTTCATTTTGTACATTTTGGAAAGCCAAGTTTTTATGCTCATGATTTATTTGTAAAAGCAATAAGAGAGGGTCAGCACTTCCTGTCTCAACAACAGGTTAAGCAGAGCAGTGAGTGTGGGAGTCGCATGTCCACAGACACCCAGGTTGGTTCTGAGAACCGAAACAAGAACAAGTTAGGCCTAAAGGGAGGTGCTCTTTTCTTGTCATTGTGGCTGCTGGTTCATGTGAGCAACAAGTTGAAGGACAAATTAGTTCATAATCAATAATTTAACATCATCTAGTTGAAATTGAAACTACAATGCATTTCTGATATTAAATTATATTTGATCCATTATGAAATGTTTGCAAAGAATAAATTAGCTTTCTTTCAAGACTAATGCATAAAAACTCAATTATCCCCACTTCTGTTAATTGAATGTCTATATTTGCAAATATAGATTCTAGTATTAACTCTATAAATTCTTCTGCATCAGCAGAGTAAATGGATCAGTTTGTCTGTTGTTGAGCTTTTTCAGCTAATCTGTGATGATAATGTTTACTGACCTTGCCCAAATTAAACTCAGCGTTCCACTTCGGATCATCGGATTGAATCATTCGGGTCTTGCGTTGTATGGAACCATAGTGCAGCTTAGCATAGCTGTGAACAAAAGAGGAGCCATATAAAAGGTGTGCTCACCAGGTTCCATTAGATCTTTGTTTTTTACCTTTGCATCAACCCACCTGTCAGTTACTCCAACGACATCTCCGTATAGCGTCCAGGCTTGAACAATGGTCACTGCTAGAGTTCCCCTTGAGGCGTGCAGAGGGCAACAGTTAGAGGACAAATCAGGAGTAGATCCCTCACAGTGTGGCTCTTCGGGTGATTTCTTCAAAGCATTGTCCTTCAAATACTGCTCAATAGCAGCTTTCACTGCTGCCTTTAGGAGCTCATTCGGCATGAGATGATAGAGAGATCGAAGGGAGTACGAAACAACATCTGGATGTTCTTTCAGGCTCTTTAGCCAGTTCATGTAGCCCATGGAATCATTTTGGAAAATTGAAAACTCCCCCAACCAACCATTTCCTCCTGACACCTCTGTGAAGTGCTGGTGGAGACCAGAGCTGAAGTTAGTGGCAACATCCTGGTTTTTTAGGACACTAATGCAAGAATTCGGGACACTAGAGAG